TAGGTGGCTGTTATTCTCAGATATGAGATGATGGCAACATGGACAAGACAGCCATGGATATGGAGATGGATAAAGATCATTCTGGAATGCGAGGTCTCCAGGATCCAGGGTGGAGCTGGTGTGGTGGATGAAGTAGAGAAGAGTGTCCAGCAGATATCAAAGGGCAGCTTGCACTTTCCCAGTGTAGCATCTGGTTGTACAGTTTGGTTCTACAACTGATCTTTTAGCCTACAAATGCTGTCAAATATTGGGGTTATCTGTAGAATGCTGGATATCTGTGTGCATCTGTGTGCGTGTGACCTCGCCTGCACTGAGGCTGGACTTCAATCTCATCTACCTCTCCATTCAGATGCACCCTAGATGTGTCTGAGCAATTGAATTTACTGTCACACATTTCACTTAGTGCCATTCCCAGCTCGTTTGCCATGTACGCATCTCACTCTGAGCCTTTCTCTCACTAACTGTCTATTATTTCCTTATCCACAGTTCCAGATGTCATGGTTATCTAGTTTCTCAGCAGAGCCTGCTAGGGGGTGACTTGCTAGAGTCGGGTAGGCAAAACAAAGAAGTTACTTTTGAGAGACTGTCATTGAAGGAGAGTGGAGAAGAAAAAAAAAAGCTCAAAAAGTAGACGCAAGAATTGAGAAAATGTAGCTTTTACTGAGTGACGTTAAGAAGTAGAGCTGGGTAGGGATCCTGTGTCTCCTCAGTCCTGGAGGGTTTTGCTGAATTAGAGAATGTTGTCTCTGATGTCCGCAGTGCACAGTGTGAGTCATCGCAGAGTGATTCAGTCGTATTCATTACTGTCTGTGTGAAGATACGGGTAAGTGTGTGGTGCTGGCTGGAAAGATTTCCTTCACAAACGCTTAAGATTTTTAAAGTTGGCACTTAAGGGAGAAGATTTAGTTATAATGAAAATTAACTTCTATAAAGTATCTCATTTCCCAGTATGTCAGATAAATGAGATACTATGCACATAATCCTAGCAGAAAAGACATTTTTTGCTCCCCAATTTATGTGAGAAAAGGAAAATGTTGATTTGGGTACTTTCTACTTCAGTGTTGAAAAGAGAGCATTTCAGGGGGTCTTAAAGTTTCTTTAAGAGCTTCTCAGCCTGCGATTTGCCCGTGAGGGCAGTAACATCACTTCTTCACATGGTGTGCGCACACTGCGTACAGTAATGCTTAGCTGAGTGCCTGGCATGTAATAATTTCTTGTCTTTATTATTCCTGGGATTTTATCTATTTTTCTTCCTCTTAAACTTTCCGTATACTAGTTGGTTATTCCCTATGTATCTTTCATTTCTTAGTTTTAATTCATCTGTGCTTTTGTGTGTCAAGTACTAAATGGCATTAAATCAACTGCTCTCTATTGGTATTCTTTGAGTTAACATGAATAGTCATATTAGAATAAAGGAGAATGGATGCTGGTAGCCACACTTTTTTTTTGTGGCCCCATGAGTGGTACCTGATAGTAAAATGAGGACTCTCAAAAATTTGAGAATAAGAGAAGTGGACCTGCTTTTGGAAAGATACACGGTATATAGTTTTCTTCAAAAAGGGAAATTGGTCATAGCAGTAGCTTTATTAAAGGATTAGCTCATTTAAATTAAAAAAAGCTTAATCCTAAAGGATGTATTGAGCAAGAACTGATAGGTCAAACGGAAAATGTGCTAGGTATTCGAGACAGACTATATTTAATACAAGGAGTTGGTTACAAGACCGTTGGAAGGACTGGAAGAAGCGAAAAGGGAGAAGGAAACAGATTAAAAGAACGAAGAGGGTGATTGCCAGCAAGCTGGTGAACTTCCCTGGGCGGGAGCTGCAAACCTGCCTCAGCTGCTGTTTACTGCTGGATCTGCTAATTTGAACTGGATGCTTGAACCGTCAAGAGATGCTGCCCCAGTCGGAGCTGAAGTCGCACTGAGATTTCAGCGCAGAAGAGGCACTTGTGCTGCCTGGACTGCTGGGTGCTGCTCCTGCGGGGCTGTGTAGGGACGATCAGCAAAGGCCACAGCTCTCAGAGCCAGAAACTGGACGTTCCCTTTCTTCCTGCTTCAGCCCTCCCAGCAGTGCCTCCTATTGGTGAAGCGATAGAAAGTCCACCAGCAGGACAGCTAGCAATGTAGTGTTGGCTCTGAGGCTCAGCGTGCAAGAGAAAGCTGTGGAAGTGTGGAGGTGGGGCTGTGATCAGATGAACTGCGTAAATAACCAGCTGAGTTAGCATCCATGCACACTAGACTCCCTCCCATTACCTTCCGCGACTGACGGCGATCACTGCGTGCTTCCACTACTCTGCCTCGGACAAGTGAAGGTGCTCTTACCCTCTGTCCCCATATTCATTTCTGGGTGGTATCAGTTCCCCTTTTAGTTCATATACACCCTACCTGGATATGCTGCAACTTTTAAAAACTAAACTAATAAATTAACACCCACTAACTTTATATAAATCAACAGGGAAAAAGAGGAGGGAAAATCAGTTGTTATAGACAGATCTCTCCGTAACAAGCAGGAAATTAAAAATAACATCTACAATTCTTGTTTCCATAACTGTTAAGGCCATAGGTAATATTTGCAACTTCTTCCCTTTGCTCTCAGCCAGTTGCCCATCTGTTTGGGATTCTTGAGCTCGTGAAGCAACCAAAATTTTGTATCTAAAAGGTCTGTGTCCTTAGTGGTGGTGGCCTGTGTTGCTTTAGACTTTCAGTACTTAATATGATTGGACCTGGTCAGATCCTGGGGTGCCCTTGAGAAAGCCCAGGGTGTCAGTATGCGGAAGGAAGCTAACTTCTCCTTCCACATAGCACCTTTTTTTCTTTACCTGTTGATACAGTTCCATGAGGATCCCAAATTACCAGGTCATATTCTCAATTTCTAATATAGTCGTACCCTGGTTACGCCCCACGTATAAGCGTTCCTCTTTGTGGGGATAGTTAGTGTCGTGTGCTGAGTGTAATAGTGAGAGGAAACACTGACTCCCTTCTCTTGATTCCCTATTTTCTCACTGTAGAAAAACCAGCATCAGATACGGGTCCTGAGATCAAAGCAGTTGCAACATCCTGTAGGAAGTTCAGATCCACAGGCTGTGATCGCTCAGCATGGGCTGTGATGTGGGCTTCCAGAGGCCATCTCAGCTGTCTCCCAGGCTGTGCGTCGATCAGGTCTATTGTTAGATGAGTGACTTCCATGGGGTTAGCTCACTTCCCACTTCTTTTGCCATGAACTGATTTCTTAAACAAAAGCAGCGTTGTAAGGGATATTCTGAAAACAGGCACAGCATTTCCTAAGTCCACAGTGGATGGTGCTGTTGTGAACAGGTTCCAGAAGTGAGCATCTCCCTCCCAGGAGAGAGGGATGCTTGGGGAAGGGCCCTTGGTGCTGTGATCCCACAAGTGACGCCATCCCTGATGTGATGATGGATGGAAGTTCCATCTTCTTTCAGGACGTGAACAAGACCAGTTCTGGTGTTCGTAAGGCTGCGAGTCAGGCCTTCTGGAAGCCAGTTATCAGGGACTCCCTTGACGAACGTTGACTTCACTAGTCTTTGGATTCAAAACTCATTCCTCCTCCAAATCTTCTGTTTCCGAGCTATTCTATAATGTCATCTTTTTAGCAAGTCTCTTTTCATATTTCAGCCTTCTAGGTGTCTGTTTTTCCTGTATCTTGAATTTTCATTCTGTATTGGATGCTGATATTATTACTATGCAGCATGTTCTGTCATTTATTCATTTGGTCAATATCTTTTAAGTGTCTATGATGTTGTAGGCATAGTGCTAAGCTCTAGAAATACACAGGTGAAGAGGGGTCAAGATTGTCTTGGGGGTCCTGTAGCCCATTGTGGGGGATATCAGGCAATTAAGGAAGGAATAATAATACTAATAATGTGAGAAGTAGGTACATGCTATGATGGAGATTTACAGTGAGCTTGGGGAGAAGCGCCCAACATCTGTCCTCAGGGAGGGCTGTCTGACAGAGAAACAATAGATAATTCCTCAGGGCACACCCAAGAGGCCACTGTGAAATGAATTTTACTTTGAGAAACCTTCTAATTTAGCATGAAAGCAAAGTTTTATTTCCCCCAGTATAATGTTTAATGAGTGTAAGGAACCTAGATTGCCCATGAACAGAGATCCGTTAACTTCCTTTCACTGAATATTTTGATGGGATGAATCAAATGATAATATTCAACAGCCATTCAGTCTTCCAAATCTGTTAGTTGATTTCATGGAAATCTATATAGCTTTCCTTCTGAAATAAATTTTAGTTGATCATTAAACCCAGCAAATCATAGCTTCTCTCACCCATTCATGAGTGTCTCATGAATGTCCTTTGTGCAGTTTGCACAGGCTTTGTGTTTAGACGTTTCAGTGTTGTGGTTAAGAATACAGACGCTGGAGCTAGACCGCCTCGCTTCCAATCCAGACTCCAACACTTGCCAGTTTTGTGACCTTGAACCAGCTACCTAAGGTATCTGTGCCTGAATCTCCTCATCTATAAAATAGTGATAATAATACTGCCTCTGTTATGGCAGTGCTGAGAGGAGAGGGTTACAAAGGAGTTCACACACATCGGGTGCTTAGATCAGTGCCTGACGCATCCTGAGTCACACGTAATGCATTCACAAATAAGGTCGTTCTACGGCTAGAGAACATTGATTAGGATATAATTTTAGAAAGCAATAAAAATTATAAATGCACTTAATTCGTTCATCTTTGATATGGAGCACAAATGACGGCAGTTAACATGATGCAGTAGAAAGACTCCTGTGCTGGGACTCTTGGGTTCTATTTCCATCTCTGTGCTAATTAGCTGGACAATTTGATATTGAAGAATTTAAAGCCTGTTTTATCCTTTGGAAAGAGACAGGGTTTAGACTAAGGGAAATACCAAATGCTGTGATTCCATGAACTCACCTATCCTGTCAAGAAAGGCTTGCTTCCTTTACGATAATCTTCGCTGTTGTCCAGTAGTCGTACTAAAAGCCAATTATTGTCTTCCCAGGTGTTATCACAAGTTATGGACTGTATCTAGATGGTGTATTAATCCACAATTCCTCAGAACTCAGCTGTCAAGCTTCCGGATTTGCTCCTTGGAGCTTACATTCCTTCCGAGTCCAAGCCTGCACTGCCAGAGGTTGTGCTCTGGGCCCACTGGTGAGTGTGTGAATTTACATTCTGGGAATGCATTAACTGTCAGATGACAATGAATATCAAGGAAGAAGTAAGTGGTGGTGACTCACTCTCTGCACAGCGAGCCTTTCAAGTAGGATGGGAGATTTTTCTTTTTATAAAATTTCATTTAAGACCTAGTAGGATTTTATATTCAACATAAATTTCAAGACGGCACATAGGTCTAGTGAAGGACAGAATCTACATTTTACTGAAATTTCAGAAAGTGAGTTGACCAGTTTAGCAGACATATGTACAATTTTGCCTAATTTAGTGACATATTTAGAGTGGGTGTTTTTCTTCCTAACAATGAACTTGACAACTAAGGAAGTTATGATTAAAAAGTGAAAATAATGCAAGCCCATAACTGCTGTGTTATGGTAACACTTCTCCCCTACAAGTATGTTAACCAACTGAGCGGTTGAGTTCGCCTCATCTATTGGAATAAAATATTTTAATTTCATTAATGTGATACATTCATAAGAACAGTATGTAAAATTACATTAATATCAGCTTTTGATATCCACATTTCAGAAATCTATCATATGTATCTATATTTCATTAGTAGTTAAAAGATTGACAAAACTGTGCTTTTTATTACTGGTGTAGTTTTAACAACCCAATTACTAGTACATAATTGTTACATACCAGCATGACATGCTTTAGTTTCAAAACATCACATTTTACTCTTCTGCATATTTCTTGATTAATCAGATTTAGCTTCTTCTAAGGGAAATAATCATTCGATTTAGATATTTTTTGGCAATCTTTGCTAATGCCCTATCATTTGAATGTACTCTGTCTTCATTGAAGAGTGCGTTGTATAAATATTACCTTGGAAAACAGCTCTACCGTTTAATTTTCGCTTCCTTAGTTTTGATCACACCTCCCGTTTTACTTCAGAGGTTGGTTGCTTTCCAAGCTGCTCACATCATCTATCAGTGGAGCTGAGCTGGGGTCTTTATTGCCATTAAGTACTTTATAGCTGAGACCCTCTGATGGTTACTTACTCTTAAAAGCAGGAATGGCAGTAGGCCAGCTTTTCTTCTCCATTCAAAAAAAAAAAGGAAAAGCAACAAAAGAGCACGTCCTAGGAGCTTGGAACTGAGGCTTTTTCAAAAATATAAACTGCATATTGTGGTTCTGGCTGCTAACTTGGGTCCCACTCTGTCCCCTGATGTTCTGGTAACTTTAAACAAGGGGGACACGATTATCGATCCGTGTCTCCTGCAGATAGTAGGTGACATTGGCCTTAAGAAAGCAAATGCCACAATGCCCTGATGGGAAGAGGGAAACAAAACTGGATTTTAAAAACCTAGCCTTCCACGGCCTCACACATTCTAGATTCGTTCCTGACGTACAGCAGAGTTATTTCCCCTCACCTTGATGATTTTCTTTATCCTGTGCTCAGTATGCAAACGCTTTTCCCAAGTCAATGATCCATCCCTAATCACTGGGATTGAATAACAGTGTCTTTATTTAGAACAAGTCAACTTTGTGCTGCCAAGAAGTTAAAACCCATGGTCTTCAATTGATTTCTAGAATTTTTTTTTTACCAATTACAGTATACATTATACCCTTCAGAGATTGCATATTCAAGTATTCGATAGCTTTGGAACTATATATCACAATCCTGAAGGCTATTACAGAGTCAACTCCTTCTGTTGATGATCCTTCTAATGTGTCCTTGATTTAAGAAATCTATGAATCAATCTTAAAAGCTAGATTTTCCTATCATTATATTATAATAAGATTTTCAACAAAATTCAGCAAAATCGCATATATATGTGTCTATATATATGTCACTTAAAGATATTCTTTATCTAAAACTCAATGTTATAACAAATATTTCACTGAAACAAAAAAATTTACAATTTCTAATGTTTTGTTGGCAGAAACCCAGAATCAGTTTTCCAAAGAGTCATTTTTTTTCTTCATCTGAAACATTTCTTAAGGATAACTCTTGGTTTTTAGAAGAAGAATTCTGTTTGTTTCACATCTCTTACATATTTAATATCGTTGCTTTTCGTGCACACAGGGAAATACCATTCAGTGTTTCCTAAGATAAATAACACTCTACAGTCTCGAATGTGGTCCCGTTCCACCCTCAAAATTTTCCAGGTTGCTTATTAAATAAGAAAATAAAAAGGTTAAAAAAAACACATTTGGTAAAATAGAATATCTTTGACATAAAAATGCATGTATAAATTTAATATTCTCACCATTTCAATGTAGTATTAGTGCGATATGTTTGGTACCCTTAACCTGACCAAGTTTATTTCCTGTTATTTGTGGTTCAGAAGAAATTGCTCTACATCATCTGAAAAAAAAAAAGATTTCCATGTGGTTCATTCAGTTCTTGTTCATTTGCACAATGTATTTGGCTTTTAAAGAAATTCCAATATAAAAAACAACTTATAATGCTTTTGATCCTAATTTTAAGGTGCTAATATGCATTGTCAAATTAAATCCAGTAATTGAGGTTTCATAAATATTTGAAATAATGAAAAAAATTAACAGAAAATGCAGCAGGGAAGAACTTTTTAAATGCTTTCCTTTTTTTCAATTATGTTGTTGAATTACAATTAGAGAGAAACCTGTCATGTTTTCGTGTTTCTGTGATAAAATGCAATGAGTTTGTTCATAGGAAAGTCATTTTGCTTTTGTTTGTTTGTTTTTCTCTTAGCCAATGTTAGATAATACTGATAGAGTCTAGGATGGGGAGTTTTATGACTGTCTGGCCTTGGAACATTCATTGAATTCAATTCTCCAAGGACCTTCTGAAGGATGAAGTGTGAAACTGTAGGTTACCACTGTGCGATGCGGTGGAAAAGCTGCCTTGGTTTCCTGGTGATGGCATGCTTAAACAGATAACACATCCAGACACACATGTATAGTGTACGTACTCACCTTTTCACAGTCGTTTTTAATAAAGAAATGAATAATATTTGTTACTTAAGGCATCTAAATCATAATGGCAGTAAGTGTTATGGTCAAGAAAATCCCATGTGGGGAATCGATCCTAAACCTGCTATGAGCCCCCACGCCTCCTTGAGAAACACACTTATTCTGCGAAACTTCAGACTTCTCATCTATTACAAAAGGAAAATAATGCCTACTTTATAAGGGGTTGCTGTGAAAATGTAAATGAAATATTTATACAAAGATTTCTGGTATGTGCAAAGAGTTTTATTAAGGATAAAAGTTTTATTTAAATGTTTGTATGTTTTCATTACATACTTCTTCTTAGATTTTTTCTTTCTGTGTCAGGGGAGGTTTGCAGGTGAAGCCAAGCCAACCTTCCAGAAGGCCTTTTCCTTAGCACTTCTTTCAGGCAAAGTAGATGAACAGAGAGGTATTTCTTTTTTAAAAACTAAGAGCAAAATAGTACAATTGCCAAATTTAAAATAGAGTAAAAGTATTTGTCCAGATATGTAAAGAAATTTTAAAAATACATTTATTTTGAATTAACCAGATATTTGAGAATATAATAATATAATTATCTGGATTTACCCTTAATTCTTTCAACTTTTTGAGTCTCCTTTTATTGGAACCCTTTAAAATCATTTTCTGTGCAATAATTTGAACGATATACATAGACATAATGAAACCAATTGCATTGGTATAAAATATTAAAATGATGAATTGATATTTTTCCAGTCAAGTTTCTTTATCGTTTTTTGTACATAGCTATTAGGCTAAAAGAAAAAAAGAGTACGAGTTATAGATCTAAAGAACCCATAGCCTTTCTCAGATGAAAATAAAACATGTTGTGACCTCATACTTATTAAAAATTAACACACTGTCTTTTCCACATTTATTTTCATAATTGGGAAAGTATATTCGTCCTAACAAATGAAGGCTTCGTAATTGAGAATATTTGCCTGCCTAAGGATTTCATGTTTGATTACCTTCTTGTGATACATAAGCCTGTACTTTAAGAATAAGGTCAAAATTACCAACATACTCAGTAAATCTGAAAAGGCTAAACACTTATGAGGGATGCTTATGAGTTTGTGGTGATAAGTTAGCAAATTTAAGCCAGTTATTTAAAAAATGCTAAAATAGCCCTAACCCCCTTCTGCTTTCTCACCAGCTTCACCTTCCTCTGGTCCCTTAGCCATTCCACTTATTTAGCTATTAAAATCTTTCTGGCCCCTGTGCAGTGAAGGGTTTCATTTTTTCCAGAGTCTTTCTCTTCAAATAATTCAGTTTCCGGTCTTTTCTGTATAGGTTCATTAACACTATATTAATGAAATTTCAGCTCTTTTGCGATTATACTTTAGGGACAGAGTCATTCATCTACATTCATCTCTTGATTGTCTGGAATGGTGCCATTTCACAAACCTGGTAGCAACTGTGTGTGGGGGAGTGAAGATGCTTGGTGTGGCCTTTGACAAAGCCCAGCAGTCTGTCACGCCAGTCAGGAACTTACGAAAACAGACCTTATGCATTTCTTCTCTTTTGCAATCTCATTAAAAAAAATTGTTTTTAAGCAGTCCGAGAAATAATCTGTGGACATGTACAGCCGTGGGCATGGTCATAGTGCAAGCTGATCCTGGAAATCACACACTGCCTTGGTCAGGAGCTCACATTCTAAGCTTTAACAGCAGGAGGAAAAAAACATGAGGTATGCTTTGATCCCGCTGACAAAATGAGGTATTCATACAAGATGCTACTGTCAAAATAGTTTACTTCACAGCAGAAAGAGATTCTTTGAAGAAATATGCTCAAAGGGAAGCATGTGCTTATTTTATTTGCACACAAAAATAAATCTTTTTATACTCACAGGTGGAAAATCGAACTCAAGAAGCTCTTCCTGAAGGAACAGTA